AAGATTGTCATGTTAATAGGGTTGCTAGATATCTGCGTGGTAATAATCTAATCGTTATGAAAGCCGACGAAGGTGGAGCCGTGGTAGTCATGGCTAGGTTGTGTATGTAGAAAAAACGCTAGTTCATTTTAATGACAATGACACGTATGGGCCTTTATTGAGAGCCCTTAAGGAATGCGTAAGTAATGGTGAATTAGAGAAGTAAAAAATGAATTCCCTTCTCCAGAGAGATGCAAAGGACCCCACGGCTTACCGTCTTTCTAAGGTTCACAGAGAGGGTGTGCCTCTTAGATTAATTGTACATAATGAAGAAAGTGTGACGCATACAATTTCACGTTTTTCATGCATACAACTAAGTAAAACTGCACATTTTTTGCTATATTCAGTTAAAGATTGGTATGATTTTGTGAAAGTGATGGATCAGCAGACACTTTCGGAAGAGGATAGGCTAGTAAGTTTTGATATTGTGTCTATGTACACAAACTTTCTGGTTCAAGGAGCTATTCAGGGTCTGATACAAACTCTGGACGGGCATCCAGAGATAACACAAGGAATAAGGCTGAGTGCAGCTTCCATAATTAGACTTATTAATCTATCCATGAGTAGTACATACGTTACCTTCCATGGTAAGTTATACGAACAAACGCATGAATTAGCGATTGGATCTTGCCTGGCTCCAATCTCGGCGAACAATTATGTGGCAAGATGGGAGGAACACTTCCTGCAAGAGGCAATACTAACCCACAAATCGTGGCTTAGATACATGGATGACTATTTTGTCATCTGGCCTCATGGTAAGCAAGGTTTAGATACTTTGCCACTTTCACTCAACCCGTGTGAAGGGAACATTAGGTTCGCAATGGAAATGGAAGAGAATAGGTCCTTACCATTTTTGTATACTATGATCATTAGAGAAAAGTGTAAGTTAGGAAGAGATATTTATATGAAGCCAACATATGACGGCTCTTTTCTTATTTTTATTTAAAAACATAATAACAAAACCAAGATTGGAATTTTGAAGCCAATGATTATTAGGACTATGAGGCTTGCGGATAGCAACAATTTGACTATAGGGTTAGGCTGACAAATTTATTCTTGTAAAATAATTATCCTTTGGGATTAATTGAGTATAATATCTCTTAACCGAGTTAGGAAGAGATGTTTATATGAAGCCAACATATAATGACTTTTTTCTTATTTTTATTTTTAACCATAGTTACAAAAGTAAGGTTGAAATTGTAAGGTCAATGATTCTTCTAAGGCTTGATATCATTTGGTCATCTTATTTTGGCAAGTGTGGCCTTCGAGCCTCTTCAACATATACTTGCACCAGTCGCAGGGAAGAACAGTTATTCCAAAGGAGTTGTCCGAAGGATACAGAAGATGCATTTGAGGAGCCTTGGAAATATGCCATGCTGGGGATGCTTGTGGGCCTGTGGTATATTGTGTGGCATAGAAGACCCAACCTTACCTCAGGTCATGATTTTGAGTTCCGCGAAAGTTCAACATTACGCTCAGATGGTGTAGTAGGGGCCGAGAACAAGAAGAACACACCGCAAATGTGACATCACATGCTGCTTCAACCTTTGTCTGCACCTGCGCACACCCTGCGGGACTCGGACTCAAGGCATGCTAGTTTGGAGGCACAGACTCTGTCCAATCGGCCAGACATTTGAGGAGAGCAGATTGACTCGTCCGCTCGGAAGCAAACCTTGCCTTCTGGGAGTCCGTGGATGAGTTTGGCCAATTCGACTTTTCTAGCCCGAAGGATTTCGAGGCAAGACAATATTTCTTCCGCTCGCGATGCGACAAATTCACACATTTCTTTTACACAACTCCTCCGCCGAAGGTGGAAATTGTGTAACCCCAGT